CTTGCTTTCAAGCTTGTGGAACTCAGTCCTTGCCTGTAGCGCGATATCCCGGGGCAGTGCCGCATCGGGCGACAGCGTCACAAAGCCTCGGCCGGATGAGCTCCGAGGAGTGTCCATGGAGCCCTTTGGTGTTTGTGTCATGTTGGCTTCCCGCTCTTCAGCCTCCTTTTGTGCTGTCACCAACCTCAAGTGTAGCATCTCTTTCGTAATGTCAACGGATAAGTCGGGAATGCTAGCAAAAGGATCGTCTTCACTATCCTCAGACGGGATGACAACATGCGAGCTCTTAGGCCGGATGCTCTCGCCCCTCCGTTTGATCCAAATGTTCTGCTGGCGATCAAGATACATGCTTCCAACCTGATCAGGTATCAGATGCGACACACTCTGCGGCGCAATCGTTTTCCTTGACTCGGAGCCTCGAGAGGAGCCAGTGTGCATGGTACGGTTGGTAGATGCCCCTGACGAGTGAGTACCGAAATCGTCATACTCGGTAGAGCCATCTCGCTGTCTGTTCGGGTTTGCGGAGATACGGATGTTGGGGGGATCGCTGATGGTCTCGTCTCCTCCAAGATACTGGAGGTCATCAACATTATTTCTAGAGCGGCTGCTCTCTTCGATCTGTCGCTCAACCTCCTGCGCAGCGCGGATGGCATCTTGTGCTTGATCCATAGATCTAAGCGAAGATGTAATGACGTCTCCCATGTCGCTCAGCTCCTGGTACTTCTTAAGGTAGTCAAGAATCTCTGGATTCTCCTGGCGTTGCGGTGCCCTTTGCACTGGTTTTCCTTCGCGACTCGGGGGTCGGGACAACGGTTCCCTGGTCGACTCATATGAGTCGTCAAAAGCAGGACTGGGCTCGCCGTATTCCGCATCAGATTCTTCCACACTGGTCAGGCCGCTAGGGGCCTTCACGCCATTTCGAATCATAGCCATGATCTTGCCAGCCTCATCCAAGAAGTCTTGAGTTCTGATAGATGGCTTACGGTCTGTGTCGAGTGTTGCACTGCGGTCATTGCCACTAGATGTGAACTGGGATCCACGGTGAGGGGTGCGTCGTACGGGCCGCTCTTCATCTTCGTCTTCGGCATAGTCCTCGAGCAAGTTATCCTGGAATGGAAACTCGCCAGCTTGCAGGGAAGACCTTGAGCTTGGGGTCGGAGTTCGTGGCCGTAGGATATGGCGCGTGGCCAGCACGCTGGGATGTGCTCTTTGTTGCAAACTTCCTGGGCGAGCGTCTTTGCGCTTCTTGCCCATCATGCTCTGCATCAAAGCATGGGTTTCCTGAACGGTGTCTAGAAGTGCATACCGCTCTTCCCTTCCATACGCAATATCTGACTTGTGCAAGGTCCTCCTCCGCTTCGGCGTCGGGTCCTTCGATGGCGAGGTACGTGGTCGCTTCCCTTCTGATGCATCACGTCTTTGGGGTGTACCTAGCATGAATGCCTCGGCTCCCGCGAACTGGACGTTACCTCTTTGAACACTTCCTTCGCTGGCTGATGGTGTGTGCTTGGAAGACGAGGCAGTCGTAGTGCCAGACTTTGCTCGTTTCCTGGGAACAAACATCGACGCTTCATCTGGCACCGGCGAGCCCGCGACATGCTCGAATCGAAGGACAGGCTCTTCATCTTCCGCTTCATGTTCAGATCCCTCGTCGTCCTCGAAGAATTGGGACTCCTCCTCAAGCCGGATAGACAAGTCTTGATTGAACTGGTAACCTTCAAGGTCGCCCGCGCCAAACTGACTCACAGATCGGGAGCTCGTGGCTGTTTCTTGCTTTGGCACCGACAGGTAGTCGCCAGGTGCAGTGTGCGGTCTTCGGTTTCTAGCAGCTGGGGCGAATTCACCGCTGACAGACTGCCGTGATGATCCAGATGTTTGATCCTCGAATTGACTGATGCGACGGAGCAGCGTCTGGTTTGTGAATGTATCGTACGGGCCGAACAACTTCAAAGGACTCGTGCTATTCGTTCCCGACGTGCCGGGTTTCTCCGGACTCGGATTTGGCACGCGCGGTGGTGGTGGGCTCTGAGACCCGAACCGAATCGAAGTGTAGCCGGGGGAGTACGTTCTTACACTTGGGAACTGCTTGGGTGTACTAGCTTGTAGAGACTCTTCAGGAAGCATCTCAGACGTGTCAACGCCCATGCCAGGACTGAGACCTCTGTATCTGAAGGATCCATCACCAGACCGTCCACCGCGCCGAGTGTTGAGGAAGCCTCCCTTTCGCGCATAGTCCTCGGTCGTCTCTGCTCTGTCGCTGTCCCCCTCTTCTCCACTGCCATCCATATCAAAATTTAGCTCACCCTGTGAGTCCAAAAGCATCTGATCAATGCGCAGTTTCTCGAGGCGATTCTGGAGTTGGTCGACGGGGAGTTCGGTGGGGGCGGAAGTCTGTTTTGCTTCATCCTGCTTCTGGCGCATCAGCGTTAGGACGATTGGACTGAAATCCTCATTTCGGATGACACTCTGTCCGCTGGTCTTCCGAGAAGCATCGTTCGGTGGTGCAAGTCCTGAAACAGAAGCCGCCAGACTTGACTCCTGTGCAAAAGTGTTGTCTTGCTGCGGACTGAGTTGGCTTTGATTGCTGTGATCGGGAGAGTCGTCGGTCATCTTGTAGGTAATGTGTGGCGCGCGTGGCCTAGGGCTCGGGCTCGGGCTTGGGTCCATATGGCTCCTGCCATCTGATTCGTCCTCGTCATCTTCGTGATCCTCGTGCTGGCGGTGGAAAAAGGGCGGGCTAGAGGGCATTGTTGTATTTTGTCGCACGCTTTGATCGGCGATCGAGCTATCTTGGGGAGGAGACGGCGGCTTGAACATGTTTTCGAGACCTGTGGCTGCAGAACAGAAGAGATCCCGTTGTTCGCCATATGCGACGTCGCCGTACACTAGCCTGCGCTTCCATTCCGGAGTGTCGCCGGCTCCTCGCAGTGGAGAAGACCTGATGGATTTATGATGTACAGTATTATGAATAACAGAGCCATTTGTTGAGGCTGAGAATGCGCGACTCGCTTGACGTGATTGGTCGTTGGGTTTGATCTCGCGGGAAAGCTTCGAGGGGCCCCTTTGGGACAATGGAAGATTAATGTCATTGGTGCTTCGTTCGCTCAGGACACCGGTACTCTTGTCGCTGTTGCCAGCACTCGAAGGTCGTATCCTACTGACGGGGAGAGGTATGCGACTACCGGATCCTTTTCCGCTTGGTGTGTTGTTGTTATCTGTCGGCTTCAGAGGCGGCAGCTGGGCGGGAGAAGTCTCGGATCCAGCTTGCGAGGGCCAATCCTCAGAGAGGGAGTCGAGCCAAGCATGAGCCATGGTGGGTTGGCGTATGCGATCAGGGTTGAGGGACTTCTGAGACTATAAGCAGTCCATCGAGGGGGGTGGCAGATCGTCGTCGTGAGTTGTTGTCGCGGTTTGCGGGGTGCTAAGATTGGTGGCTTGGATGCGATTGAAGTCTGTTTACGCGGGCAATTGCAATGCAGAAGTCGCGCGGGAGAAAATGCAAATGAATAAAATGCAGTATGGCGAGCCGAAGAAAATGGCGAAAAGACTGCTGGCGAAATCGCCTCTGCTGCGTCCGCTATTTGCGGTGACGTTTGGTCGTGATGTGGGAAAAAAGAGGTGTTGGTATTGTTCCGTGGGGAACGCGGTCGAGCGATCGCGTTTGGGGCCGGCGTTATGTCAATCTCAAAAGCCCACCCTCAGTGTTGAATTTCCCCGAATAAACATAACTAATTCAATGTTATGCTTGATTGGCAGGCCGCGGGTTGCTGTGTCAACCGCCACAGACCAACCTTTGAATGGAACCAGGCCGGGCCATGACCGTGACCCAAAATTCCCCGATCGTCCGATGGCGCTAATCGCTCTATCGAGTCGTGGGGATTGTGTCCTTTTGTTGCATCTATCTGATATCTACACTAACTCCAAGTGGGATCTGTGCTGAACATCTGCGCCACAGCAACGTCAGCCACCGTAACCGCGAAGATCAAATCAATTAAACACGATATCACGTGCAGAGCCGCCCTAGACGCGATTGTTCGTGCTGGGTCGCGTCGTCTGGTGAACGTGCACGGTCACCGACCCGCCCAATATGGGACCTCTTTGTCTGGTCATGTTTGTGCAGTGCGCTGGATCTGGGGACTTTCGCCTTTCAACGACCGACGACCGCAATCCGGACCACCGCCCGGCGCCAATGCGACCGTAGCGCTTCCGACTTCTCCCCCCTTCGTCCCCGTTCCGTCCCTAAGGTTCATGACTTTTTATGACAAAAGTCCTTTCAAACTACCATGATGGATATGAAGGATGGCTGGAGAGTCCGCCGACTGGACGACGAACCGATGTACTGCGAGGCTCCGCACGACAAATCCGATATCTTGTGCGCCAGCTTTGACAACGAAGATCTTGAGAGCCTCAAAAAGAGGAGACGCCGATATGAGGAGGCTGCGAACCGATTTCTGCAAGGACACACGCCAAGGCTACTCTCTACAGTTCTCAGAGGCCCTTTCGAAGGACCAGACGCAAAAGGTTGGGTGAATCCATGGCAGTCAAGACGGGAACCAACTTTGGCTGCCACCCCGCCACCGCCAACGGCTGCTGTCATCAAAACAACCACGGAAGTCGAAGAAAGCGTCGTAGAAGAGGTGGACGTTGAGGATGCAGCGTCTTGCCATCTACCGAGCCCGCGAAGCCTGGATCAACCCAACTTGAGCTCGCACCCTTTCATGGAAACAGACGAACTAGAACGAGTTGAAGCATGGCGAAATACTGCGGAATCTGTGAGCGATACACAAGAGTTTGCTTGGTCAGTAGAAGCCTCTCCTTCGCAGCCTCAATCACAGACACAACGTAAGCGACGGTCAACAGGGTCAGAATGGCTTAAGCGGCAAGACACCAAACGACGAAAAGCAGGGGATACAAATAGTCTCCGTGAGGACCCGGCTGCTACCCAGCGTGATGGCGCACGTTTTAGCCAAAATATTATACAGAAGCAAGGGGACACCGCCATGGAGGATGATGAGACTGCAAGCTTGGAGAGCTCTCAAATAAACCCACAAACCCCGCGCAAGGCCTTGAACTCAAGTGCCAGTCGCTCACACCAGCAACAAACCTCACAAATATCCAACAAATACGGCAGTACTGCACAAGAAGAGATATCAGCGCCGCTGAGCACCCCGATCCAGACTCCCCAGTCCAATAGGAAGGCAGTGGTCAAGACTGGAGACGGTGCTCCTCCCAGCAGTGTTGTCACTGTAGTCAAGGAAGAGGAATGGAGTGAATTCGAGACGCAGCAGGACGAAAGCTTCTTGTTCCGTGCAAGGCCAAGGAACCATGCCATCAATACCTTGAACTCAAGTCCCTTGAAGAGAATCTCCTTCGGCCAAGGTTCTTCCGCCGCTTCCACTTCTTCGAGCGAGAGCGACTCCCAAGGCGATGTCCAAGATTTGGAGGGTGACACTTGCATGGCAGACGACACTAAAGCTACTTCCCCAGGATCCAGCGAGGAAGATGGAGATCAACATTCCCCAGGGAAAGTTACAGCGCAAGGAGGGGAGAGCGGCGAGTTTATATCCGAGCCCCTGAGCAGTAGCATAGCCCTCGACGCGATGGAAAGCGACGTGTGTCCCACAAAAACGACAGACGCCGAAGTCCCAGAAATGGCCGAGAACCTTGATCAGCATCTGCCAGTTGAGACGGTCGCAACAGCAGAAATCGCGGATTTGACATCAAGCCAAGAGCCGACGATCGTGGCAACTGCTGCATCACAAGAGCAAGAAGTGAATTTGCCACCCGAAAGAGCCAGCGCAGTGCCGCAACCGCCGACGCCAGAAATCCGGGCCACTTCACCAAAGGAACCAGCAAGCCAAACCTCTAGCTCGTTCGCAGGCATACTACCGAATTTCTTTCCTCAAAGTCCCTGGTCGAAGCTGAGCCAATTCATCATTCCGCGTACTCCTCGTCCATGTAGCAACACTGATCAGAACCACCAACAACTGACTAATTCCAACATATCCACTGTTGAAAGCCCCAATGCTTCACCATTGGCTGCGTCAGTTGTGGAAACTGTTGTATCTGTGGGTGGAACTTCTGATCGAACAGTTGAGCGACATTCAGCATGCATTGTTGATAGATTGGTGGACGCGGCCAATCTTCACAACAGTCCCGCCTTACCAGCTTCACAACAGAGCCCGTGGAATATGGACGTGCCAGTCCTTCCTCAGCCGCAGCCGCAACAACAGCCGAGGGACGGTGATGCATTTAATACCATTGACCCAAGCTGCCAGAGTCCTTGGACTGCGAGCCCGACTAAAATGCGTCAAGCTGCTCAAGAAGCTCTCATGTCAAAGCTCTTCAATGTTGCCGAACCAGCTTCGCCTTCTCCGCTTGCTCCCACCGCTGCGATCACTCCTAAAGGTCCGTCTGTCACTACTGAACAGCCCAATGCTGCCGACACGTCAGAGTCAGTTTCGCCTGAGCCTATCTTCTCTATCAAGTCCTTTGCGAACTTTCTGTCCTCATCGCCCGAAAAACCACGTCGGCGTCTCAACAAGGCTCGCCTCAGTGGCGGTCACCTGCCTAGTACGCAGAACCTCATCGCCGCTACAACCAACAATCCATGGGAAAGCGCACCAAAGTCTGCCAAGAGGGTCAGATGGGCTTTACTGCCCAACGAAGTCGAAGGCGAAGAATCTTTAGAGAGCCAGAATCCTCACACGCCTACAACGCAAAGAGCTGCTTCGCCGCCGCCAGAAACCGCGGTAGCTGATTTACCAACCGGCGAAGACGATCAGTATAAAAAACACTTCCAAGCTGTTTCCCTTCGAAAAAGGCTTCATCACCATCTCTTGCCTTCAGCATCTCAGCAAGTGTTGCAAAGCCCAGGCCCGATGGCTATGGCAGAGGCTTTTGTCTCGGCTGACTCTTTCCGAGCTCCTCCAGTCCCGATGACCATCGTGCATGTCGACGATGCCCCACTGGTGCAAGACTATGCCGAGACGCAGGAGTCCGCCGTGGATGATGTTGACGACATCCTTCGTAACCTTAACGAGTTTATCGAAATGGTCGATGTCGAAGCTGATCTCGCGAGAGCCAAGGAAGAAGAGCAGAAGCAGAATGATAAACAACAGCAGCAGCGAATAGGCCAGCCTGTAAGCAAAAGCTTCACAGGGGGCTTCACTTTCGACGGGATGATGGACGCAGGAGTTTGGGATTGAGAATCTCTGATCAAAGGAGATGCCGTAGACGATGCATCATACTATTAATGTGTTCGGATGCAAGCAAGGAGTAGCCGCGCAGGCGGCGTCATTATGCGAATTATTATACTAGCGAGGTGTTTGGGGTCATGACAAAATACCAATTCATGGGTGGAGCAACTGCTTTGCTTTACTTACTCTGCGACGAATAGGTAGTTGCTACTCAGTCCATTTACTATAGTTAGCGGTTCCACCTGCAGCAAAGACCTGACCTTTGTCAAATGTTATGAAGTCAGTAATATGATCCTCATGCAACTTCTGCTGTGAACGATCACTTGGCTGTTTGCAAGATACGCCATGCGGTCAAAGTCGGGTACGTTTCAAAATGCCTCTCAGAGTGCTCCCGGGCTTTCATCGGAACACCTCCTAGAATCCCAACGCAGAGGTTTCTGTCTTAAATTTGTAGACGTGAAGTACTTTGCCGCTACTAGTCCTCCATCTTCCCCCTTGAGTCCAAGCAACGGAGAGCTTGATCGCTTGCAAAAGAAAGTCCACGCGTCTGCACTGAGTACTGTAGTCTCGATGCAAGCAAATCAACACTGTTCAGGCAATCAGTACTCAATTGCTCAAGAGCTACCGTCGAGCGCTTCAGAAGGAGAGAGAGGGGGGGGGGGGGGCGAACTCACTACATGATGACTGGGAAGAAGCACTCCAGCGTATACGCAACCCGATCCGCGTAGCTCGTGACAGGATTACTCTGCGATATATTCAAAGAATGCGTGACGGTCCTCATGACCCCCGTCACCGCCAGCGTCGCGAGACGCACCTCGGTGCTCCGCACCAGATATCGCACGAATCCGATCCGGAGACCCGCCTGCGCCGACGCCGCCCGCGCCTCCGCGAACGCGCCGAGGAGGAAGTAGGCGCTCACGCACTCGGTCATGGCGAGCGGGCAGAAGTAGCCAATGTGCAGGCCGTTGATGAGGCTCTGCAGGCTGCCGTCGGCGCGGAGGATGTGCTCGACGCGGAAGACGATGATGAGGACGCGGACAGCGAGGATGGCGAAGAGGGCTAGCCAAAAGACTGTGGTGAAGATTTTGCGGCGTGTGTCGCGGAGGATGTTGCGGAGGATGATGTAGCTGTAGAAGGGGAGGCCGGCTTCTTGGACCTGTTGTTACTCGTGTAAGTCATCGGCATTTGAGTGTCCCAACAACCTTAGTCGGGATTTTCTCTCTCGGCATCCCTTTCTTACCATCCAGAAAAAGTCTCCAAAAGCCGCGACGACTGCTTTTCTTTCGAGGGGGTAGTACGTCTCGTCGTAGTAGGCGTAATAGCACAGCCCGTTCGCGATAGCCCCGGCGGCGGATGAGATGATGGGAACGATAGCGACCTTGGAGAAGGATGTGATACCAATGACGAGGAATCCGAGAATGACATTGAGCGCTCCAACGGTGCTCAACGGCGACCAGCTCAGCTCGAAATATGGCAGGTTGGACTGCGACTTCAAGGAGCTGTCAAACACGTTGAGAGTGCCCAAGGAACCCATACCCGGTTAGCGATGAACTTTGGCTAGCCAATGAGGCCGAAATTGGAGTGTCTCTCGGAGCCTCATGTGTAGTTGTTGTTAATAGCTCTCAAGAAACCCTATGACTCGTCTGCGTTTGAGTTGATATTGACATCTATTCCCAGGGAGTGTTTGGCGTTGGAGCCGTACATGAGTCTTCAAGTTTGTCGACGGCTGAAGAAACTCGGCTATTGCTGTCAACGGACCGGCGGGCCGTTTGCTTCAATCTCCTAGCCGCTCCCGTGTATCAGTCTTTGGATAGGTCGCCGTGTCCCCTTGGCTAAGGAGAGTTCTTCTACCTTTCGCATCGAGACTCTAGAGAATGTCGGAACAAAGGGGGCGGGGTTCTCAGGAGCGAACAGGTCCAGGAGGATCTGGGCCTTGGGGGGGGGCTATGACTAGCGGTTTGACATGAACCTTCGGGAGGCTTTATCTCGGAGCCTCACCGTCGGGACGAGAAGAGATGAACCTTAAATCCGTATGGACGGGTGCGGTTGACGCCGTGTGCCACATGCGGCACATCGCGTCGGCACCCTTCATAGGAGTTTCGGCCCCCCAAAAATGAGTTTACCAACTTGACGCTGCAAAATGCAGCGACTGTCCTTTACCTCATCTCGTATCCATACGCGGCGCGGCTAAAGCTGGGAAGACTAAATGGCACGACCGGAAAGTTACTGCCCATGGTTTCGACACATTTGCCGTTTGGTGCCAGCTAGCTGCGAGCTCTAAACGCGTTATCCTTTAGTCCGATATGGTTTACATGATTGGTATCATCGATCTTTGAGCAGACGGCTGTCACGTTTTCCATTTACAGTGGTAACTCTGGAAGAATCCAGCGCACGGCGGAAGCGTTACCCATTTACGACATCAATTTTAGAGCTTTGATAATACCTGCGCGTTTACCCAAGGTTTCGCCTTATCAAGCATCACAGGCTAAAACCTTATAGGGGTTGAGAATGGTTATATTAGTAAGAGATGTGTTCCCCCTTCCTGCTCCGTCTATTGGCTTTTCGTATAGTCGAAACAGACCTTGATACCCACCAACTCAACGATCAAGTTCACAGTCCATTGTTAGCCACCAAAATCATCTCTAAGCATGTTCTCAGCTCAGGTCACAGCCTGTCCGAAAAGCCAATTTCAGTGAACGAAGTTGTTAAACCCCCACTGCAGACAACACAACGACCACTCTTTCCAATAACTAACAGAGGTTGAGTCAAGCTCAACTTCTAGCCAACAACAAGCCACAGCCTGGGGGCAGACTTTTCTCTCACTCCCAGGATTTTTGAAAGATGGTATAGCCTTAAGCATACTCAACGCCCCTAATAACTTCCAGTCTAACAAGTTTTCATCCAGATGTAGTTATGTCAAGTACTTTAAGCTATTGTACCGATACCAGTATCGAGAAACCCCGTGCTTCCGACCTACTCAGTACCGCCTCCTAGTAATAGTGCGCTGCTTCGAACGTGGCGTCCCACAGCACCGAGATTGTCTCAACCACAAGTTTACTGTCTCAAAAGAACTCCATCAACGACAGTTTTCCGCTCAGGTTATGTTATGCGAACGAAAACCTCTCATAATACTCGTCATCGGCTTCTGGACCTCACGCTACTTCGTGAGTGACATTTCACACTCCACAATGAGGTGAAAAGCCTCAGCTGTGGTTGTGATCTCTGGTAAGGCGACGCGTCAGAGGCATAACACCTCACCCAAGATTTTACACTACCAATCTTTGACTGTTGTCCTCATGCCCGGATTTTCGAGATACAAATCAATTTCTTCCTCGTCTAGGTGAGATGCTGAGGGCTTGACGACAGCAAATTTGCCTGCGGTTGGAGAGAGCCTTGACATGCAGGAAACTCAGTCGACACACCACCTCTTTGGTCAGAGATCGCAAGCTTCTGGGGCTTCATGATTATCACTGAGCGAGGGCAAACCTCGAATGAGGTGCCCAGCCGGCGAATCTCGTCAAATGTAACCAGACGCGCGTCAAGATAACGAGGTCTCAATGATTTCACCACCAGTCTACTCATCTCGCCTGCCTGATAACGATTATTCGCCATTGAAGCGAAAGCCTTTACTTGCATAACGCGACTTGGAAAGAGCGTAGTCCTATCAACATGTTATGATTCTGATACCCTTTTGGATGACACTTGAAGACAGAAGGACAGGCTTTGACATTTCTCTACGAGAAACTTGAATTCAAACTTGCATTGGAGGTCCAAGGTGATGAGGACGGCTTACGACTATGTATGTCAAATTACTTTTCCATTCGTGAATAATCTATGTAATCGAAATACGTCTTACTACCATCAGTCGTAGCCTGCTTTCAATATCCTCCAGACAACACAACTCTCTTCTCGCCTGCTCAAGGGTCTCTGCCACCGTGGTCGAGACTTGAACAAAATGATTCTAAGAGCGGGAGGACAAGACAAACAGTGTGTTCCCGAGGAATTGACTTTTCTCGAAACTGAGAAACAAACTTGGACTTCACGAAGAAATGAGTAAACGCTGCAGCTACTGCCCCAAACCCCACGACACGGCCCTACCATCTCCTACTGGCCACTTGATATGCGCATATCAAACGAGTCATCATAGAACACGGAGGAGAACGGGGGGCAGTAACTTCCCAGCAGCAACAACAACAACAGCCAAACAAACGAGCTCATTCCCATGGCTATTCATCTTTACGCCCAACAAGATGAGCTTTGATCCACGGCCCACAAGTTCTAGAACAGACAATCATCGCAAGCAAGGGTTTATCTAAACGTGTAGCGCAGGTGGCCATCCGACTGGATAAATCCTGATTTCTCATCAGAAAGAGCCTTGGACACACATGTGGAAGACATGTAACAAAGAGCCTCTGTCCATAGAGAGGCAGCTTGTCATTGAGACAACACATCCAATTACTCCCTATCATATATCTCCGCCCTCGGTGTCTCTTTCCGGTTTTCTCTTCCCCAGAGTCCCGGAAAACTCAGCCGTGACCATCTATTGGCAGTAGCTATAGCCCTCCTCGGGCTCACCGACTCACCGTCTCCAAGGTTCAAGGATCTCAACACTCGCAGTGCTCCAATTTGCCGGGCTAGCTCGTAAGGCTTGACCCGACCCAAGCAGGATGTGAGCTTCCGAGTGACAGGCCACATGGCGGATCCCCGACCTCTCTTTGGACAAGAAAATAAAAAAGCAAAAGACAAAAAGTTCAAGGAAAGGTGGCCTGAAAGGTCAATGCCAGCCCCAGTGCGTCCGCACCCGGACTCTCCCAAAAAGAAACACCATCATCCCATGTCCGGACCAAGTCAGAGGGTTCGGGGGGCGTGTGTGTTCTTCGGTTACCGGGCCCCATGTGGCCCGTATCATTGAGACATGAAGCCCCACGAGGGAGGATCATCTATACTATTGCCAGAGCCATGTTCAATCCCAAGCCTTCCATCCGGAGTACATAGGTCTTGTCACAAACCGTTGGGGGCATTACATGGTGTATGGATAGTGTAAGAGATGAGCGATGCCCCTGAATTGGGGTTTCAGAGAGATCGGCAGGAACATTTCAGGGCCTTAGGTGCCTATCCTTACCGGTGGCAATGATGAAGCAAGCCGGCTGCGCCTCGCTGGCAATCCGGGGGAAGGAGACATGGTTTCCGGCAGAGCCTCAGGGGAAAAGAGCAATAAGATGAGAGTGTTGTC